CGAAGGTTTTGCATACTTTTATAGAGTCGATTTGAGGTTTGTATAAACTTACAGGGAGCGGTTTTAGGACAGCCCCCATATGGGCCTTGATAATTGGAACACGCTTTAGAGGGTACATGCTGATAGTGTAACTATATTTTAGCAACTATAAGGGGATACCATATACGACGTTTCAGGGCCCTACATTCATCAATAATGTTCCCGCGAGTGGCGATGGTCTAAGGTTACAACTTCAGACCCTAAACCCTGAGCGGTTCAGGGTTTAAGGTAACCCTATTGTAAGCCCTAAAGGGCAAAACGTTAATCCCAAAGCCCTAAGCCCTAAACCCTCTGTCCCAGAAACACAACCATGCCGCCTGCCCTTCCGGAGCCGCATCGGGGCCGTTGGCCTGACCTGAGCTGCTGCAGAGTGTATGGTTGTGTCAAAACTCACTTTCCTACTATTTACAGTTTGGGGCTGAGGGGGTTTACATTGGGGTCCTGAGTCTGTGAAGCCACCGCAGGCATTATGGGCTGCAGCAGGACTCGGACCAACCATCTTTCAGTTGCTTGCAGGAGATTTTGATGGACCTCGTACTGGACTCGCCCGTCTGACCCAAATCGACAACGAAAGACACCTGTTTCGTTTCCGAAACAGCTGAAACACCAACAAAACCCGAAACCGTCCCTGCAAATCTCAAAACCTAACCTAACCCTCAACCACCCTCGACCCGAACTCCTGCACGCGGCTTTTCGCACTCAGAGCAAACTCCGAGACGTCTTTGGCGCGGGGTCGGCGCAAAAACGCCCGACCACGACCCCAGGTTGGCCAAGAGGGAGCTGCTGCAACGGTTTAGCGCTGTGGGTGTAGGATTTAGGGTTTCGGACTTAAGATTTACGGTGTCGTGTTGAGGATGTAGGTTTAGGGTTTAGGATTTAGGTTAGTAAGGTTTAGGCTCAATGTTCACATACTACACTGAGTCCCTGAAACTGCCACAGAAATGGTCCACTTTATATCCAAGGATCAAACATCCTACGTACACAGCACACCCCTAACGCCGATGTGCCAAGAACCCAGCTATAAGTTAGACCCTAAGCCCCAAAGCCCCTAACAGTGTCAGGAAAACTGGTTACATAAACCTCAGTAGTGTGGACTGCGAACCATCCCTAAACCATAAACCCGAAACACTGAACCGCACAAAGAGCTGAGACCCGGAAATAGTCAAGAGTCAAGTCTGAGACGATCTGATAGGATACTACTGCTGCAAGGGGTGAATTAGTGGGTTGCCAAAGCTACGATACGGTTTAGGGGCACGCAGCGCTTACTGGGGGAGACTATTCGACTTGTTGAGGCTTCCAAACATCTCTTAAAAGGTGTTGGAACTTCTGGTGCAACGGTACCGAGGGGTCGATCAGCAGTTACTGCTGTATGCGCGATGACGTGATGTATACTACAGCTCAAACCATCTTTGGCCACTTCCCGCGTTTCGCGGGGCTCTCACCTTCCACGCCCATTGACTCGTGGGCGGCGAGGTGCCTGTGAATCGCAAGCCCTTGGCCCTTGAAGGTGAACCAGTCGGAAACCTAAATGGACCCAAATGCCCTAGATCCTCTTTAAAGCCAGCATAATCTAAACTCAAAGTCCTGAACAGGTAACTGTCCGAAATCCTATCGAGAGCACTGCATGGACTCAAATCGAAGCCCGAAATTCTTAAAATGGAAGCCGCGAACTTCAAACCTTCTATCCCAATTTGGATACCGGAAGCTCCACGGCATTCCAAGTCAACCCTAAACCCTAAAC